TTGTTGTTGTTAAGGAAATTAGATCTGATTATATCGATGAACGAGCAATACATGTATGTTTTTTGCTCGACCAAGAAATCACATCACCAAGCTGACAAGTGATGCACACTCAATCTGACTTTACCATACTTGTCCCTAATGTGAGTTTCCCTTCTTAATATGGAGGTGCTTCATTAGATCGTTGAAGGAGTAGTACTCAGATTTGCAAATCATCCTCTTAGAGAAGTCTTTCTAGGAGGGTGACAACTTTGTGATAATTGCATCAACTTGGAAGAGTTCCGATAGAGAAATGGAAAGTGAGTTTAGTTTATTGACCATGACCTGAAGTTCATGCACTTTCTCCATGATAGGTTTGCCATTAGTCATTTGAGCCTCAGGTACTTGGACACCAGGTACTTGTTAGTGCCTTGTACTTGAGATGATGTAGGCTAATCGTAAGCTAATATAAGAATGGAATAGTGTGTGCACCATCATTAAAGTCTAGATTTAATAAATTCGTATGCATTTGTGATAACAATATCCAAAATTTTCAAGTTTGGATGAAATGTTTTGGTGTCTACATGTATAAGAAGTCTAGATATATTGATCGTATGCAAATATTAGAATCATTAACTTTTATTTATGTGAATTATTTACTTAATACATGAGCTTTGGGTTGCTTCAACAATCATCTTCAGTTTTAATTGATTTTTCTCTCCCCCTTTATATCCATTTGACTTACCCGTTAAAATATCATTGTGATCTCTCTCTTGCATCCCTCTCGCTCTATCCATCCATCTCTTGCATCCCTCTTTCAACTTGCCAAATAACATAAGCATCGAGAAATACTACAAACATAAGGTGGCTTTGTTTTGGGAAGCTTATATTGAGAAACTAAAGCTCCACAACATGTTGATGATGAATAACAAAGCTTTGTTTGAATCCAGTCAACTGGAAGAAAGAAAAAAAACTTTAGGCAATGAGGGATGCAAGACCTTCTAAAGTACGGAGTTTGACAATCACATTCTATTCCAAAACAAACCGTTCTAATATTCTTCTAAGTGGGTTTCTAAAGAAGGTAGCTTATAAAATAATGGTTCCTTTTAAGATTTTACAATGCAACCCTTCAAACGTATGTTGCCATTTCCAGTAAAACTTAAAAAAAGGTTGCTATAGATATATTAATGCAACATTTATGTTAAATGAAGTTATTTTGTAATCAAGTGAAACCAATGTTAAAAGTTCATATTAGATTCATTTTGTACTAGTGTCAAATTAACTGTAAATTTTTATATTGCAACAATCATTATATATATATATATATATATATATATATATATATAGGTTCAAATGTGGATAGATAACTATTGTGTGGTTGTAGGAACCAATCACATTTTAGAAAAATAATAATTCATTAATTAATCTAATAAGGGTAGTTTGGTAAATGAATTAATTGAATTTAAATTAAATCCTATAATCTTGGTAACTTGTTTTAGATTGACCCTATATTTATGTTAACTTCTCCGTTCAACCCTAAGCATTCCAAAGATACAGACACCTCCATCATCAAGAGATTAACCAGTGTGTCCTGCTTCTTCCGCCATATATCAAGCCGACACCCACAGGTTGAACGTCACACGCTACCCACAATCAACACCACCAACCATTCTTTTCTCTTATTTTTCATCTTCATGTCACCTCTCTTCCTCTCTTTGTTTCACCACCTATCTTCCTGTCTTCTCCATTAATCGTGAAGATTCTATCACCAAATCCAAGCTTCTATTGAGGTTCAACTTCTCAATTTCTCAAATTCATCTTCAATTTTTATGATTTTCTTTGTTTAATTAGTGTTAATATGTTATAGGTTCATTTTCTCAATCACCATTGTTGGATGCTCATAATATGTATCAGAATACGTAAGGTACAACCTGGACAAGCATCGACCTTGAGGTAAGAAAATAATGTCTTTCATCTCTGTGATAAGCATCGACCTTGAGGTAAGAAAATAATGTCCTCCACCTGTTTGATAATTTGCCTCAAAGAGAGGTCTGGAGTGGCTGTTTTCATTATGTCCTCCACATGTTTAATAATTTGCCTCAAAGAGAAATGTGAATTGTAATTTTTGTTATATTATTAATTCTTTATTTCTAGTTTTCTAGTTATGTTTTTTAGTTGATTGAACGCTTTTTCTTATACGAATTTGTGCTAGGTTCATATGTATATCAAAAATGAAGATCCCCAAACCCATCTGGACTATCTCGACCATTCAAATTAATGGTTTGTTTCCATTTTTTATATTTATTTTACTTTCTTACATGTTACATTCCTTTTTTTGTTTGTTTAACATTCTAAATTTTCATTTTGCATTGATATATAATATTGGTGAGGGGTCATTCTGACAGAATTGAATCCAGTTCTGTCGGAATGGAATCAGGAATTTCAATTTTGTTGGAATGGAATCATGATATTTCATCACTAATTTGTGCATTTTCTACAATTCTTGGTTATGGATTTTGGTTCAATTCACAGGTCTTCAGATTTGTACAAAAGACTTTAGTTTTTTATTTTTCATTTGCTAATGTATTATTGGGTTCTAAATTACAATTGGATTTTGTTTCACAGGTTCTTGAAGAACAGACTACAAAATTGAAAGTGATTCTTAACAACAATATTCTTTTAGAATGTATTAGTGTCTTTTGTTAGATTTTGATGTTTTTTTTTTAATTTTTAACCATTCTTAGTTTTATTCTTTAACAATAAATATAATTTTTAGCAATTGTTACCCATATTCTTTAAGAATTAGTGTAATTTTTGTTTTTATTCTTCAGTTGATGGTTCAAGAATTTGTTATTTTTCAAGAAGTTCATTCCGTCAAAATATGTATTCTATCAGAATATTTATTCTTTTATGGTTCAAGAATGTTTCAAGATATTCATAAACATATTCTGTTAGAATGACCCGAAATAAAAGAATTATTATCTATTAAAATCCAATTTCTAAAATTAAGAGAATTAATAACCCCTAAAAATCCAAAATTTCATTTTTTAAATGTAGTTTAATTGACTAAAATACCCTTATACTAAAATTTATGTGATTATATAGTACATGATATCTCAAAGTAATATTATAGACCCTCAACTAATGACCATTCATTCTATTCATCTATCGGTCCAGAATTATCCTTACGACCACACAATAGATATCATCTAAATTATAACATCTCTCTCTCTCTCTCTCTCTCTCTATATATATATATATATATATATATATATATATATATATATATATATATATATAGGGAAGTGTTATTTGGAAAACAAAAAAACCCTAAAAAAACCCTAAAAATCATAAAAATGCATAAAAATACCTAGAGAATACAAAACTTTTTTTTTTACTTTTTTTTATGAAAAAATCGCAGGTTTTTAAAGAAATTCGCTGAAATGTTTTTTAAATTATTTTTTTTTTATAAAAAAAAATTGATTTTTAATTTTTTTTTCAGCGAATTTTAATAAAAAGTTGCGATTTTTTATAAAAAAATTTCAAAAAAAAGTTTTGTGATCTCTAAGTATTTTTTTTATGCATTTTTTATGCATTTTTAAAGTTTTTTGTTCTCCATAGAACGTAAACTTATATATATATATATATATAGATATATATATATATATATATATAATATATATCTATATATATATAGGGTGAGGTTCAATAGAGAACCATAATTAATCAAGGAAGCAAAGAACCAATCTTTTTTTCAACTTTTAGAACTTATTTTTTAAAAAAAAACTAAAAATACAGAAATTCATAACTTTTTATCCTTTTTCCAATGATATCAAATTCGAAATTTTTTTTTACGTCAAATTCACAATGTGAATCTTTGAAAATTCACAATGTGAATCCGAAAAATATTTTTCACATTCACATTGTTAATATATGAATTTAGATATTTTTAGATTTTTTTTTCGATAAAGAATAAACTCTAAAAATTGAAAAAAAAGATTTGGTTAATTCAAAAACCAATAATTATGATTTTCTATTTAATTTTCCATATATATATATATATATATATATATATAATATATATATATATATATATATATATATATATATATATATATATATATATATCTATATATATATCTATATATATATATATATATACACGCGCGAAGTTGATAAAACAAAACGATGTGTTCAATAAATTGAATGGTCCATTTATGAAAGCTTGCTAATTAGTGTCGTATTAATTTTTTTTTTTGTTATATAATATAAATAATAGCGATACATATATAGATTATATTTTCAAAGACATACTTATTTTAAACAATTATAATACATTAAATAATAGATTTTTATGTTAGGTTTATATTTGAAACTGAATTATTTTGCTTTAAACAATATTACTGATAGCCTAACTCGATAGTTAAATATTTTGCCTTCATATTTTATTATTTTAGTCATATTAGATACAAGTTAGTTTGTATCTTGAACAACCGCTAAATACTACAACGACGATATTTGTAATTTAGCCTAAAATCCATTTATATATATCATGAGAAATTAAATATCCTCCTACTTTTCTTCCTACGTATCCTTCTACCCATTTGAAATGATGATAAGTGTACTAAATTAATGATAATCTTATCCAAATATGACAAATGTTACCATTTACGAACATAAATAGGAAAAAAAATATAAGAAGATATTTAATTTCTCATATATTATATATTATATGCAGAAGATAATGTTTTCAGTTTTCATGTGTTTGGAAATATAATGATGTACAACAGAGTTATAATAAAATAAAAAAAAATAAAAGTTACTTACACGTTAAAGAGTATAGTTTGTTACGAGGACGACGCATAAAGCTTTATTCCTGATTTTAAAATGCTGAGATTCTTGCATAAATTCGTGTAATAATATCCTGAAGGAAATTAAAGGGTGGCGCACCACCTTCTCCATCCTCTCATCACATTCCTTCTACTCCTCTTCCACCACCTCAACCACCCAATCTCTAAACTAACATGGCAACGACATCATCACCGGAGTTACACCTTAACAATCTCCGAGCCATTAAAGTTTTAGGCAACGGAGCCATGGGTACTGTCTTTCTTGTTCATAATCTCCTCACTGATCCATCTGCCCACTGCCCCTTCGCTCTCAAAGTCGTCGAGAAATGTTCACCGGACGCTAAACAGGACGCCGACCGCCGTGCCCGTTGGGAAGTCTCCGTTCTCGAACGTCTGAATCGGAAACCTCACCCGTTTCTCCCGTCGTTAATCGGATCTTTCGAGACAGAAGATATCCTCGCTTGGGCTATACCGTTTTGCTCCGGAGGTGACCTTAACGTCCTTCGCCACCGTCAGATAGACCGGGTTTTTTCTCCGGCGGTCATCCGGTTTTACCTGGCGGAAATCGTCTGCGCGTTACAGCACCTTCATAGCATGGGCATCGTGTATCGTGATTTGAAACCTGAAAACATTTTGATTCAACATTCGGGTCACGTGACTCTCACGGACTTCGACCTCTCACGTGTCCTCGCGCCGAAATCGTTAAAATCCTTAATTCTATCGTCCGAAGTGCCGGAAATCCAACCAGTAGTAAACAAACAACACCGGAAGCTGCCACGTTTTTTCCCGGTGATGGGTCGTGAGAAGACGAATGTGAAATTGAAGAAAGCGAAGAGCGCACGTGTGTCTCCGATGACACGTAGATATGGGAGTTTTTCCAACGGCGAAAGGTCGAATTCCTTCGTTGGAACGGAGGAGTACGTCGCACCGGAGGTTGTGCGCGGCGACGGCCATGAGTTCGCCGTTGACTGGTGGGCATTGGGGATCCTCTCGTACGAAATGTTGTACGGAACAACTCCATTCCGTGGGAAAAACCGGAAAGATACGTTTGGGAGAATTCTAATGATGCCACCGAAGTTCACCGGAAAACCAACGCTGTTGACGGATTTAATCACGAAGTTACTATCGAAAGAACCCACGCGCCGGATAGGGTACACAAGAGGCGCGTGTGAGATCCAAGAGCATCCATTTTTCGCCGGATTAAGGTGGGATTTACTAACGGAAGTGTTACGTCCTCCGTTTCTTCCTTCTAGAGATGAGTCTGACTTAACGTGTAATCCAGATGGTATCAACATAACAGCGTATTTCCAGAAGCTTAGACAACTTCCGTCACCGTTAGAATCTCCGTCAAGAGATGACTGTGGATATAACGTCTCTTTGACGGAGTTTTAGCACACGTGTTAGAGATTCTACTATTAACTAGTCTTTGGACTTCTGTGTATATAAGAAAAATAACGGTGGTATATTTTCTAACGTACGGTATACGGATGCTAGTTGGGGTGTGTTTGTAAAGAAGCAGGAGACACGCGGCAACGACGGCGCGTGTAATTGGGAGGCTATCATTGTGGTGTGGGGCATAAAGGGTATGATGGCTTAGATTAAGGCTTTTTCTTTAACCAAATTATAGTAGTGGTTGTTTAGTACACATTCCAATAAATATTTTTTTTTGTACCACTTGTATTGTTGCTAATTGAAAGATTGAGGCAGATTTGTTTCCATAATGTTTTCATTTTAATTTAATTCATCGTCTATGCACATTTGATTGTAAAAACACAAACTATTTTCCTCACGATCATGCATCTTACTAGGGTTAACAAGTTGAAAGAATAATATGTTGCCCGGATATATTTAGTGATTGAAGTATTTTTTTTCTTTTATATATATTTGATATATAATTATTATTTTTATATCATGTTCAAGAAATACCAATATAACTTGGCATTTTAGATTAATTTTTATTAGACATCTAAGTTGACCTTTCTAATGAGTTTTCAATTATTTCTCTATTCATTATCAAATTTTACAAGAAAAATAAAAATAAAATAGTCTTCATCTTCATCATGTTGATCACATTTATTTATAGGTATCTCCGTTCAACAGAACAACTAATTTATGGGTTTTTATTTGTCGGTCTCATTCAACTTTACAAGTTCAAGTTTTTGTAACAATTTGATTTTTTTGACCAGTCAAAGCTAAAATAGCAAAAAAAAATTCATAAGATTGTCGCTCATTCTTTATTTTGGATTAGTAGCAGAAGCTCTAAGCTTAAACTTAATTTGGGTGTTTGGTTATACATCCCTATTTTGGCTATCTTGTATTTTAAGTTTGCACTTGTATCATATTAGCTTAACTTGTTTAAGCCATTCAAAGAAAACAACTTTACAACTTCAAGTATTGAATACATCGCCGCCGAAGTGTAAAAAAATGGCAAAAAGATTGCATCATATGTAGAGATGGAGAGGAAGCAATGTAAAATGTTAATATTCATCTATTCAAATGCGTTACTTAAAATTTTAGTTTTGGTTCTATGATGATGAATTGCATTGGGGGCATTTCCATCTTTGGTCCCACTCGTACTTCCTTGATTTCAACCATACTTATAATTATAGGTTGGACTATGTCTTTTTTATTTTGTATACTCTAATCGAAATCATGTGTCTGATGTCAATGGCAGAAAGTTATGAATATGATATTTTTTGAGCATGCATCTTCGATTTCTTGAACATACACATTCAAATTCAAATTTTGTTATGGGTTTTAAACCTGCATCTTTTCCACAATTTCAAATGAGAACAATGAATAAGAACGGATATGTGGTCTTCAGATGATCCAGATGAAGAAGAATGGACTATCCATAAAAATTTAGGTTACATTTAGGATTTTTTATAATATTTATGTTTGTCAGAAGACAAGAGATTCTCCAGAGATGCCACAGATGCTAGGGCCACCAAATAATAGCTAGACCTGCAATGGTCTTCGATGTGAATTGGAATCTAGACATTGGGTCTTGGTGTCAGATCTGGATTATAGATCTGAGATGAGTGCCATTCGAGAGTGCCCAACTTGATCCCTAAATGCTATCATAGAGAGAAATTGTTAGATTCACCCCATGGAGTATCCTTCGGGAATAGGCTCTGACGATCAAGTTAGATCGATGTGTAGGATGAGATGGTTTCTCTTGGCCAGAAAAATCCTTCTTGAAGAGAGGTGGATGTGTATAATGATGGCTCCGATATCAAATTGAGGATTTCCTTCATGGATGACAAAGTGTTCTAGTTATAAGAATAGTTCAAGGGATAATTAGGTTCGGCCTTAGGCCAGATCAATTCAGGCTCAACTAGCTTAGGGAAGTGTTGTCATCCAATCATCCAGTAATAGCATGTTGTGCTTCCAAGCAATGTTGCCAGATAGCGTCGTCATCACCAGATAGAGCCGTCATACTATGTTGCCAAGCAATGTATGTGTTGGATCGAGAACACAATAAGAAAAAGTAACAAGAATAATATCACACAACTTAATCAAAAACTTATTCTGATTAAGGGTTTTTATGTTTCTCACAAATAGACTGTGAGAACAAAGATATTATGCGCAGGGACAAGGTCCGATTACTCAAACCTTGAGTTAATGCTTAAGATCAATGTCTGCTTATAATTATGTGTTCCAGTCAATTCTGGCAAGACCAGTCGAGACTGAAGAGAGAAATCAACAAAGTACTTCAAGTATTAAATGTAGAACTATGAGTATAATCAAGGTAAAGACAATAAATGAACAAGTAGAATGTTTTGAAAGAGTTTGATATAAGAGAAAATGTGAAAGAGAGTTAATATAAAAATATGCTATCTTTGGAAGAACAATCCGTATCATTCTAGTCATTCAAACACTCCTTAAATAGTCAAGGAGGAACATAGTACAAACTGATTGACATACAAAGGACCAGATAATAATACTACTTCTGACATATTGATTATCCAAATAAACAACAGAAACTTGGTCCTATGAAATGTTACATCAAACAAAAGACAAGAATAATTAATGCATAGACTGAACACGTGATCTCGAATTATTTCTTCATTTCGGCACATACTCCACTTCGGACTCTACCATCATCTCGTACCATAACCATTTCGGACTTAAGACGCACTTCGGATCTTCAGGAGTTAGAGATTGCTAGAGGTTCACTTTCAGGTTCCAACAATCTCCCCCTAAGTGAACTTAGCAATCCTGTCAGCTTAGTTCGATTCTTCCTTGATAAACACGTATGCCCGATACAACCAATCTCTGACTTCGATGTACCACTGTAGCTGACTTATAAATTTAGCTTTCACATGTTCTGGTGCCTCGGACTTTGATGCATGATTGATGAACTTCCGAAGGGAGTTGGTGGGAACCAGATGCTTGTCAAGGACTCGGAAGAAGTCCTTCTTTTTCGTTTTCCTTTGAAGATACACAAACCCTAACACCGGTTCGTCAATTGGTCCATCTGCCAATATCTCAGCTTCTGGCAGCTTGAAGTCAATCTTTGCTAAGTATTTTTTCTGTTCCGAACAAGTGGGCCAAGTCAAAGTCGCACTGACAAAATTCAGTGACATAACTTTGAGGAAACTCAAGGCAGCATGGTAAGCTCCTAGGCTAAGATCATCGGTTTGGTGGCTTCTGATGTGAGTAGCTGCCGTCAGGATGTCATTGGGATTGATTGCTGGGAAATCGGCGTCAGTGATGGTTTTGTGAGTTTTTTTGTTTCGGAAGATGAGGTATCGGAACAACACACAGTTCAGTTCAAATTTGGTTAAGATTTTCCTTTCGAACCTGGAGATTTTGGTGATCCTTTTCTGATACCATACTTCTTTTTGAGGAAGTGCATGTTCTTGGAGTAAAAGGTCATCAATCTTTCACGTTCAGTTTTGATGATCATTTGTGGATCATCTTCTGGGTGGAGAGGAGTGAACTTGGTGTAGAATTTGCTGTATGGAGAGAGAGGCAGATCAATCTGGTCCGAATCTTGATTGGGAAGATCATAGTACATAAATGGCACTATGTCCAAATCATGTATAATCCATTCTCGGCAAAGAGGAGAAAGCCCTAGCATTGGATGAGGATTATCTTTGAATGCTTGAATCCGGATGCTTTCCTCAAGAGCATTATTTATTTCTTCCTGGGACCAACCGAATTTTTTTTGGAGGAGGTTGGGAGTGATGGACTTCCGAAATTGGCATTTTGCCTTTGTCTTGGGGCTGCTTGAGTTCTGAGATGATGAGATGCATATCTTAATCAACAAAAAATTTTGGAGGAGAGGAAACTAGGGGCTCTTCCAGAATATCATCAGGCTTCCGAAGAGGATAACTTTCATCAGTAGGAGCAATCTTGGGCGAAGGAATCGAAGGCAGCATCGATTTGGTAGCTCGGAAGGCGTTAACTGTTAGTTTAGTTTTAGCCTTAGCCATTTCTTGGCTTCTTTGAAGTACATCAGCCATAGTTGATGGCCATGAGATTGCCAACCATATCCGTTGCTCTTCCTCGGAAAGCACTTTTGTCGGGAACTTCTTCAGAGCAGGAAGCCCTATGATGGCATTGGTGACATACTTATCTTCTTCATCTTTATCATCATCATCATAATCATCATCATCATCATCATCATCATCATCTTCATCATCATCATCATCATCATCTGGAGAACCTGAAAGAATTTGTAAATAATCATCAGAGTTTTCATCTTGGAGTCCGAACTCCGAGACAGGTTTCTAGGGGATGGATGGACTTCTCCAGCTAGGCCCTTCTCCCCCTCTTGCAACGGATGACCCGACAGCCGGTGCAAGCAATGTAGATTCCTGAAGCTTCGAGAATCGATCAAATACCTTTTGAAAACTTTTATTCATGTGCAGGGTCAGAGCGTCATAAGCTTCAGCTGTGAGAGCCTGAGCTTTGAGGTGATCGAAGAGTTGGTCAAGAATCGAGAACATCTCATCAAATTTGTTGTTCGGGACATCCACAATGTTCCAGGATGCCCGGAAGAGCTTGATAAAGACTTGTTGTATGATCAGATTCATCTCCTCTTTCTTCCAGATCTCTTTCTCTAGTCTCTGAATTTGTTTCTCGTGGCGGACATGGGTCTGTTTGATGAGCTCATTTGTATCACCGATCAAATCATCGTGAACCTTCAACATTTTGGTGATGGTGTCGAGGTAATGATTGAGAGAGGCATCGTATTTTTGTTCAACCTCCTCGATGGTATGTTTGACTCGGAGTGAAATAAGTTGATCGAGTTGAGCTTCCCTTTCAGCAGTGGTGGGTCCGGACTGTGTGGCTTCGGATAAGGAGTTCAAAATTGCATCTAGCTTAGAGTCTAGACCATAAACTTTTTCATCAATCTTGGCATCGAGTCCGGCCACAGAGGT